TCCTTCAACTCGAACCGGCCTCCGTACCTGCAGAACCCAACGCCGGGGATGACCCCGGCGTCGGGTCTCCGATGCTTAAGTCAGTGCTCAGATCAAGAGAGAAAAAGTGTAGTAATGTAAGAGTGAGAATGAGGTACCTTGGCCCCTCTTTTATAGGGGGAGTGTACCTTTGTGGGCTCAAGTTGGGCTTGACCCATATTATTGGGCTTAGACGTCTTAGTGGACTTATCTTCCAATATGTATCCGCTTTATCCATTAAACCGGGTCCAGTATAATATCCTATATCAAGCCCAAAATTAGATGGGGCTAAACAATAAAATTACATGGGGCTATATATAAAATTTTTAAAAATTCAAAGTTAAGATTTTTTTGGGATATAAGAAGGTATGGTGCATTTTTTAAAACACGGTGGGGAAACACGCACATTTCGTTAAACCCCTGCTTCCCACTCTTTCCATAATTTTAGCTTTTGTATTAATTCAGGAGGGTATAACGGTAACTTTGTAATTCTGTAAAATAAAAACAATGAACAATTTTCGCAGCTAGAGAAGGTGCGGTACACGCGCCGTCAAGTTGGACGAAGGGGAGAAGTGTGCACCGATTAGTTTAATATAAGAAGGTATGGTGCATTTTTTAAAACACAGTGGAAAAACGCGCACATTCCGTTAAACAAAAGGGACGTAACGTATTTTAACATATAAGCTACCAAACATAATCTTAGTACTAAATCATAAATAATAACACATATTTCAATTTCAACGATTTTTATGAGAAAAAAAAAAATAAAATAAATTGTCTGTTATGCTGGTTAGTTTCATGTTTGAATGATGGTGTGGTGAAAACCAATTTAAGGATCAGTGGCCCAAGCTCACCAACCCTCTCTCACTCGACAGCCACATAAAACTTACTGTTGTTTGACATATATGCCCTCATCTTATATTGAATAATAAGATTGTTTTGGATAATAAGATCGATAATGTAAATAGAATTAGAATTACTAGTACGTACCCCGTGCGATGCACGGGATGTAAATATTTTTGGAAACATTATAAACTGAATGATGTCAATCGATAAGCAATAAAAAATTATAAATTGTAGTCATTAAAAAGTCATATATTATTAAAACCTCTTTATACACAATATTATTGGTTTGATTACTGGACAACTCGTCGTCTCAAAAAATTAATATTTTCAACCTCTTTCAATTAGTTACACGGGAAATAACACCATATAACGAATATTTTCAACTATTTCCTGTTAGTTACAGTGAAATAGCAACATACAAATGACGATGAATAAAAAACAATTTCTTCAAAAACAACCCAACATGCACACGTGAAACAACAACGTACAAATGTATTTCGAGGAATAATTGTTAGTTCGGGGTCATCGTCACTTGTGAGGTCTATTATGGTCATTTCTCTTGCAACATTCGTGAAATGGTTCGGAGCTTTTCCATGGGACATTTGTTGAGCTATTGTTAGCAAAATACAATAAAATGAATTAAAATAAGGTTTTCGGATTTAAAGAATGATGAATAATATACAACATTTGACATACTTGCCGAAGATGAGGTGTTATATTTTTGAGTAGTCAATGTTGATCTAGGACCGTGCGATGAATGAAATAGATATTATTTTCAGGCGTACATGAATTTGTCCATTAAAAAATTACAATTAATATTGGGATAATATATATTGACTGGCTAAATTATTTGTAAAAATGCTAGTTTTGTGGCAATTTTATAAAATAGTTATCATAAGATGTCAATTTTGTAATTATCTTTTTTATTATATCATTGTCATTCTATACATCCGAATGGAAATTTAATATGTTGAATGATTTTGTTATGCTCTATAAGCTATTTATTTTGTCTAATTTTTAGTTATTGTGGACCGGCTAAATTATTTATGTTTATCGGCTCAGATGGATGAAATTAAGATTTATAAATTGATTTCCATATTGAAAAGTAAAGAAAAAAAATCTTCTAACAGATTTGATAAATAAATAACACCAACCCATACCATAATAAAATCTGCTTTTGAGGGGTTATTATCTTTATCGGCCGAAATGAAAAAAAAAAAATAAAAAAAAAAA